GACTAATATAGTAACTTTTATTTGTATTAATATTGGTTTTGTACCAAAATGAATGACACTCAGACGCCACACTGTCCATGCAATGATATTGATGTATGTTTAAAAATAAAAAAAACTTTACAACAAAAAAAAGGAACAAACCGTCTAGGGATGGATGTTTATTTGAGAGTTAAAAACATTTCATCCTTGTACCCAATCTCAATCAAAGTCACGTTAGTCTTCCTAGGGAGTTTTTTTGATCTGGTCTACCTAGTAGGGATGACACCTGAAAAGCATGTTTTAACAAATAAGCTAGCAGCTTTCCCTGACTTCACATATGTTTTGAATTAGGATGAATTAGAACATTGCGTGTCATGGCTAGGTATTTTTTTTAAAAAAACAAAACAAAAACACAAACATGATAAATTTGCTAACCTGTCACTTCTTGAAGGAATGAGTTAGAGTTTTTTTATACTTCCTGCATTCATGTAATGACATTTAACTCTTGCAAAATACCTTGAATCATAAATTAACTAAACGAGTCACCTAAAGGATGATGATGATGATGATGATGATGATGATGATGATGATGATCTCTTTTATTCATTAAACATGAAACTCAGTCAACTGAACATTTAAAAATGTGTCACAAATAGGATTGACTGCTGCTAATGGTTGATACGGGTTGCTGCCAGCATCCTAGGTATCAACCAAGTATCTTCTTCAAATATATTCCGAGTAGCGCAGTTTTTTGCAGCTCTGCTGGTGTTATTGCAGGAAGCTGCAATTTCTTGATGTGTTTTGTAAAATTCTTGGACATGGTACCAAGTGCCCCAATGTCAATGAATATCCCTGTCACATGTTTCATCTATAGCCGTGTAGTTTCAATGGCCAGGTCGCGATATTTCATGATTTTTTCCAGTTTTTTTTCTTCGACTCTGGCATCTCCCGGTACAGCGATGTCAATAAACTATACACTTCAGCCCTCAACAACCATGATACCTGGCATGTTGTTTTCCAAATGACGATCCGTCTGTATTCGAAAGTCCAAGATCTTCACTGTCTCATTTTCAATAACTTTTTCCACTTTGTGCTCCCATGACTTTTCGGATACAGGTATGTCGTATTTTTTACATAATGACCAGTGGATTAATTTAGCAACTCGATCATGTCTAGCTTTGTAATCAGTTTGCATGATTTTGCTGCAGTCACATATTAAGTGTGAATGAATGAATGAATGAATGAATGAATGAATGAATGAATGAATGAATGATGATGATGATGATGTTGTGTGAATGCATCCAGCACGGTAGTTCCAACAGGAGAGAATATTTGTAGCTTAGAGTTAAACAGTAGGGTCCTAGGTGGTCTCTGAGCTTGGTGGTTTTCTTGTAGACATTTCATGACCCAACTAGATAACATCTTCAGGGCACCTAGTTGGGTAAAGGAAACATCTGCAAGAAAACCACCAAGTATCAGGGAGCACCAAAGAGTTTAGATCTTCTCCCTCTTGAAGTGGTGATTTTTGCAAAGAAATTTCCTAGTTGGAATTCTCCAGCAAGATTTGGATATAGTAGAGTATAAATCAGTGGTGGGTTTCAAATTTTTTTACTACCGGTTCTGTGGGCGTGGCTTTGTGGCCGTGGCATGGCTTTGTGGCCGTGGCTTTGTGGCCGTGGCAGGGGAAGGATACTGCAAAATCTCCATTCCCTCCCCAATCCAGGGGAAGGTTACTGCAAAATCCCCATTTCCTCCCAATCAGCTGAGACTTGGGAAGCAGAGAATAGATGGGGGCTGGGCCAGTCAGAATTTTTACTACCGGTTCTCCAAACTACTCAAAATTTCCGCTACCGGTTCTCCAGAACTGGTCAGAACTTGCTGAAACCCACCTCTGGTATAAATGTGGGAATAACACTAAACCCATGCTTACGAAGTTATTCCTCCAGTAGTTTTATCCCTTTTTCTGCATTTTATTATAGAGGAATTTGGAAAAATTCTAAGTGTTTCTTTGCCTTCCCTTCCTGTTTCCCAGCTTAATCCCTTTTACATCTGTGTTGGATTTTTGCAGAAGCAATGAAGAATAGATTTGTATTACTCTATAGCAAAGCATTCAGAAACCAACTTTAGATGCCAGTGGTACATTATCTGGGCAAGCCCGAAAGGTGTTTTCTAATTCAATTTGTTAAATTGAATTTAACAAGTTAAGAAAGAAAACAAAAAAAAAATCAATTCAACAAAGACAAAGCGATTTAAAGAGAACTCTTTGTGTTGTGTTGGGTGGAAACTAATCAAGGAGAGAAGCAACTTAGAACTAAGGAAAAATTTCCTGTGCAACATGTGTGCAAGGGGAACCTTTACCTTTACCTACCTCCTTGACTTTTAGAGAGAGAGAATCTCATGGGAATATCGTAGCCCAGAAGGAAGAAAATAACGTTTTGATGTAGGCGCCAACAGGTCAGAACTGATTCGGACTAAGTGAAATTACTCTAAGTGAAAGAGACCAAGCTTAATGTAATAACTCGAGTATCTTAATGATACAGAAGCTCTGACATGGTTCCAATTATCGGCCTTTTTAACTTGACCATCTTTCCAGAGGAGGTGACAGATAATAGAAAGAAATCCGATGTGTTAAAAATATACTTAGTTTTAATGGCAACGAGACACTTAACTTGTCAGCCAACCAATTATTAATCAGTTTAATGGGCTTTCTCTCATCCTCCCCATCCTGTGGACAATTGATTTAATTTACGTCTAATGCATACTGAGTAAGGTTTTTACATGCTGTGGGATCCTAAATACAAATGAGAATTGGAAAAAAAAGATAACCCAAGATGACCATAGCAATATATCACCAAGGAGTTGGGTGCTGTCAAGATTCAAGGGATTTCAGGTTAGGCTTGTGGTTTCGGTCTGCAAATGGTCATCTAAGTCAGAAGTCTCCAACCTTGGCAACTTTAAGACTTGTGGATGTCAACTCCCGGAATTCCTCAGCCAGTTGAGGAATTCTGGGAGCTGAAGTCCACATGTCTTAAAATTGCTAAGGTTGGGGACCCCTGATCTAGGAGAGAGGAGGGGGTCAAGCTATTCTCCAAAGCACCTGAAGGCCAGACAAGGAATAATGGATGGAAACTGAAGAAGGAGAGATTCAACCTAGAAATAAGGAGGAATTTTCTGACAGTGAGAACAATCAACCAATGGAACAGACGTTGCCTTCAGAAGTTGTGGGAGCTTCATCACTGGAAGCTTTCAAGAAGAGGCTGGACTGCCATCTGTCGGAAATGATGTAGGGTCTCCTGCTTGGGCGGGGGGTTGGACTAGATGACCTACAAGGTCCCTTCTAACTCTGTTAATCTAATCTAATAATGGCCATTCCCAACAACAACAGCAATTACTACAACTATGAGGTAGCTGGAGGTAGTTACAACAGGTTTTTTTAACATATTTTTTGGGGGGGAAGTCCTGAACCTTAAGCACAAACTCTATTTTAATGTGCATCAAGCCAGAATCTAATCCTGGGTGGACCTTTTTAAATGCACATTTTAGAAGACATGAATCTCTGTCATTTGAAGATTTGTTTCTGACTGTCTCTATTTTATTTTTTAAACGGGAGGGAAGAACCAGATCAAGCCACCTTTTTTTTAAAAAAAAAATAAAAGCATTCTAGGTTTCCAGATAACATTCTATGTGTCCATGAGAAATTCATTTCAAGTAGTACAAATACGTTCTTTAGTAATACCTAGGAGTCATAATGTCTGTGCCATAACGAACCCTTCTAAATTACAGCCTGCACTAATTAGATCAGCCATTGCTGCATTCCTGTCTCTGAAACAATTTGCTCAAAGTAGTAGTTACCTTTAATGAAAAGGCACACAACCGAAAATGTCAGCAACTTTTTCAATTCGTCATGACTGATTAGAAGGAATCTCTTGTGTCCCCGTAAACTGTAGCCACATTGTTGCATCCAAATGGGACGAATCTTCCCGTCGAAAAAGGACAAAATGGTTTGTGAGGGTCTAAAATGCACAATGTTTATTTTATTGTGTTAAGCTTATAGGTCGCCTGTCTCCCTGAGAAGTGACTCTGGACAGCAGATCCATTTTCCAGATGTAACTGTTTCTTTCGTCGTGCCCTATTTAAGTACTCCCATTAGTATTTTTTTCTTTCACTTTAATTTTGACGTTCCCTGCAATGCATTTGAAAGGAATTTCCTTTTAGTCATACACAGTCTCTTTGCTTTCCTTCCATTAAAATTTCATGTCCTTCCTTCCTTCCTTCCTCACTCCTTCACCCTCTTTTCCTTCCTCTCTTCCTTCCCTCCCTCCCTCTTTTCCTTCCTTCCTTCCTTCCATCCCCACTCCCTCCCTCATTCCTTCCTTCCTTCCCTCTTTTCCTTCCTTCCTTCCTTCCCTCCTTTCTTTCTTCCTCCTTCCCTCTCTTTTCCTTCCTTCCTTCATTCCCTCCCTCCCCACTCCCTCCCTCTTTTCCTTCCTTCCTTCCCTCCTTTCTTTCTTCCTCCTTCCCTCTCTTTTCCTTCCTTCCTTCATTCCCTCCCTCCCTCCCCGCTCCCTCCCTCTTTTTCTTCCTTCCTTCCCTCCCTCCCTCTTTTCCTTTTCGTCCTTCCTTCCTTCCTTTCCTTTCCTTCCTTCCCTCCCTCCCTTTTCCTTCCTTCCTTCCTCCCTCCATCCGTCCCTCCTTCCCTTCCCTTCCCCTTCCTTCCTTCCTTCCTTCCTTCCTTCCTTCCCCCCCTCCTTCCTTCCTTCCTTCAAGAGGAATTGAGAGGTCTATCGATTGGTTACCTCATTTTAGCTTTTAATCTCCCACGTATGTTGCAGTTGGTATGAAGTCCTTTGATAGCCTTCTAAATCTAATAAACCCATCACCAAAAGAACGTTCAATAGTCCTATTCAGCTTTAGCCAAGAAATCCCCTCCCCCTCCAAATTTATCATAATTTGATGCATACCTCAAATCAGTTTGGAACTCCTGGATGATAAAGCCAAATTCTTATTCACCGAAACAGGAATATGTTTATAACTGCAATAGTGATTTATTAAAAATCCCTGTCTCTTGTTTATAAGTTTGGCAGCCGAAGTGAACCAAGCTGCTTTTCCCTTGGAAAATAACGGAAGCAACGCTTGGCAGAGGATGCAACCAGATGAGTCACCCGATGGAGGGAAGGGTACAATCACTTCTGTACATGTCATCTTCCCACCTATTGTTTTGGCTGGTGGTTCCAGATCTGCTAGAACAGGTTGTGTCATGACGCCGGGCGCTACAATATGCAGGAGTGGGAAAGAATTTCAAACTTAGTACATCTTAGTCCCATGAGGTTTTCCAGGGAGATACTTCAGAAGATCTTGGCTGAAGTTATCCAAAGCTCAAATATGGAGGCGTTTCTGCTGCTGGACTCTTACATTCTTCTGAACTGCCAGGAATCCAGTTGACTGATCGCAGACATGGGCTTCCCTGCAGGTAAGAATTTTCAAATATTCAAGACGCGAGAATAAAGGAATCCCTGTGTATTTTACTCCGCTAGTTGTTGCTGACTCTAGGGGGCAGTGTTCATCTCTGTTTCAAGCCTATCCGAAGATTTTTCTGAGGTCATGTGGCCAGCGTTGACATCACAGAACTCTGTTACCTTCCCACCGAAGTGGCACCTATTTATCTACTCATATTTGCATGCTTTCAAACTGCTAGGTTGACAGGAGCTGAAGTAAGAACGGGAGCTCACCCATGACGGAGTGCTCGGGTGTCAAACCTGGGCTATCAGCTTTCCAGCTGACAAGCTCAGTATCTTAACCACTGAGCCACCATGCTGCCCATTCAGGATGGGACCAAGCACACAAATAAGATTCCTTATGGATTCATGGCTGAACTTTGGGATGCAGAGAGAGAAGGGATGATATAATTGGGTGCCTTTTATTTACTTATTAAAGTTATATCACCACCTATCTCATTGGGGGGGGACAACAGAATTAAAGCAAAGCAAAGCGATCAATATAATTTATCCCTTAAGAGGTTGAAAAACAATTAAACTATAATAACCGAAAGACAGAGGGCAACCAAGTAATAGCAATAGCACTTAGACTTACTGTATATACTGCTTCACAGTGCTTTACAGCCCTCTCTAAGCGGTTTACAGAGTCAGCCTCTTGCCCCCAACAATCTGGGTCCTCATTTTATTGACCACGGAAGGACGGAACGCTGAGTCAACCTTGAGCTTGGTGAGATTTGAACTGCCAAATTGCAGGCAGCCGGCAGTCAGCAGAAGTAGCCTGCAGTACTACACTCTAACCACTGCGCCACCAAGGTAATACTATTGAATAGGATACACCTTTCCATGGGATCCTCAGGCCTGATGACCAAACCAAATTTTGAGGGTCTTTCAGAAAGCTAACAGAAGTTGGGACCAACTCACCTGGGAGAAATGATGTTCCATAGGGCAGGGGCCATGGGGAGAAAAGGCTCATCTCCTGGGTCCTGTCAGATGGAGCTTCTTAGCAGGTGGGATCCATCACATGTCTCTCCTGCTGGACATGGTGGGATGGGTAGATGTAACCATGGAGAAGAAGTACTTCAAATAAGTTGGCCCCATGCCATAAAGGGCTCTAAATTGGACTCAGAAGCAAACTGATAACCAATGTAGCTTGCAGTGGAAAGATATAATATGTACCATTCTTGGGGCACATTTAGCTGTCTGCACTGCCATATTTCACACAGTTTCCAGGTAGTCTCCTAGGGCAGCCCCATGTAGTGCGCCTTATACAGTAGTCCACTCAAGAGGTGATTAGGGCAGAAGTGGCTGAGAGTAGGCATGTTGGCTTCATTGAAATTTAAAGTGGACACCACTGATTCGAGATATAGGCCATGGTCCAAGAGTATGTTTTTATATGGATGTGCTAAATATTAATGGAAAAAGCCTAGCAGATATTCAAATATTCCAAATTCCAGCATGGAAAATACTCCAAAGTGCATTCTTGACGCACAAAACATTTTTTTATTTATTTTTTTTTTTTTGGAATGGTGGCTTTGGATTGGGTGGAAGAGATGCCGGGAGTAAAGTCTCTGAAAAGAGCCTTATGCTGTAGATTTTATTTTAAGAGTACATTTTTTCCCCCCAAGTCCGTTCTTCTTCCTGATTGATCCATTCCTGTGGAGACCCACGGTGAAACAAAACAATAGGAAACAGAGAACAAATGAAAGACAATATACAATATATTCTCAACATGCAGGACATACTCTAGGCTTTCTGTTGGAAGAGTGGCTAACATTTTAGAAATGTTTCCTCTTTTCTTTTTGAGATCAAGTAACAAGAAAGAAAGAAAGAAAGAAAGAAAGAAAGAAAGAAAGAAAGAAAGAAAGAAAGAAAGAGGGAGAGAGAGAAAGAGAGATAGGGGAAGGAAGGAAGGAAGGAAGGAAGGAAGGAAGGAAGAAAGAAAGAAAGAAAGAAAGAAAGAAAGAAAGAAAGAAAGAAAGAAAGAAAGAAAGAAAGATGAGAGGGTGGAACTGTCAAGCTGTTTCTTAGGTTAAGAAAAGCTTAGTTGTCTAGATCTGCCAAGGGTTCTGATTGAATATCCTTTGAAGTTAGGATAGCTGTAATTTAAAGCAACAGTTACCATATTTTCATCTCTCTACTCCTTTCCATGACAGCCCTTTATTGTTAAAAAAACAAAAACAAACTTAAAACCTCCTGAAAAATAATCATGGCTAGGCTTTAACATTCAAGAAAGACCTTTAGAGATTCTGCCTCTAATTGCCATCATATGTAGCTAATATTGCAAACATAACTGGCTAATGAGAAGGTTACTCTACAACATTTCTTGACAGACGAAAAGTAAATTAAGAAAAAAATGCCCTGAAGGGCACTTTCTGGGCTCCTGTGTTGTTTGCTGACGCAAAACTTTTTTTTTTTTTTTTAAAAGGTGTTTCTAATTGACGTCATTTTCCTTTCCAAAAAATAATGATTCTTAAGGCCTGGCATCAGAAGAACATAAATTACAAGAGTATGGAAGTTCCAGAGAGTTCTGGATTGTGAAATTCATCGTTCTTGCACAGGGTGATTTTGGCCTGTGGGATGTGTGTTGTCTCCCAAGTCTGTTTGTGTGGCATTGGAAGCTCCCAAATCTGTGCCCTGATAGGCTCGCGGAAGTTGTGGGTGCTCCATCGCTGGAGGTTTTTAAGAAAAGATTGGCCAATCATTTATCTAGGATGGAATAAAGATTCCTATTATGGGCAGTGGGTTGGATCTGAAGACCTCCAAGATTCTTCCAGCCCTAGGATTCTATGATTCTATAATTGATTCTAGGATTGAATCTAGGATTCCAGGATTCTAGGATTCCATGACTGATTCTAGGATTGAATTTAGGATTCTATGGTTGAATCTAGGATTCCATGATTCTAGGATTCCATGATTGATTCTATGATTGACTCTATCTGAATCTAGGATTCCATGATTCTATGATTGAATCTAGGATTCTATGATTGATTCAATGATTGACTCTATCTGAATCTAGGATTCCATGATTCTATGATTGAATCTAGGATTCTATGATTGATTCTTGACTCTATCTGAATCTAGGATTCCATGATTCTAGGATTCCATGATTGATTCTATGATTGAATCTAGGATTCTAGAATTCTATTCCAGTTCTATTCCAGGACCAGTTAGAGAATTCAGTGATTCAATGGTTATCTGTCCACTCTCCCACTCCACAAATAATACAATCTTCATATAATCTTCATACTTCTCCAAAGTGGGACCATGATTGAAGGCGAAAGAGCAGGCCCATCTCTTGGCAAGGAGGTTGAACATTCATGAAGATATAAATCATGGAATCATTCATCAGATGCATGTTGAGGGCTGGTTTAAGTTAATTATCCCGAAATGCCTGCATACACAAGCTACTTTTTTCTCTCTCTCCCTAAAAGCCTGTCTCATTAGACTGAAAATGTCTTTATAGCATAATTAGATTTTTATTTAACTGGTGAATAACGTTTATGTATGCATGTAAGTTTTAACACTTCCCAGAATCTTAGAGGCCACACGAATCCGCTCGGAGTTGCTCCAGGAAAAAGAGCTGCAAAGACTTGTTCCGTTGTGTTTTGTTAGTAAAGATACAGCCTTGTGGCAATTTGGCAGACTGACTCCTTCAACTTCTCTGCATTCAAGAAATTCTACAATAAATGCATTAGCTAATGGTCCTTGGCTGAAGTCATCCTAGCTCTCTGCTCCATAACTCCAAACAGTCAGCCTCAGTTATATCTCACACTGCTCTTTTCTCTGCCTAAGAAGAACTCTTGCACAGAAGCTGCACAATGGGTCCTCACCATCGCTTCAGAAGATGATCACAATTTTCCCATGGCTGCCCCATGAACAAGAGACCCAAAGGTGTTTTTCCAAAAGGCAACATAATATGTCTCCAAAAGGAGACATAACAGAATATATAATGTAAAAGAGCTAGGGATGCAATGGCTCAGTGGCTAAAACACTGAGCTTGTCGATCGGAAAGGTCAGCAGTTCAGCGGTTCGAATCCCTAATACCGCATAATGGGGTGAGCTCCCGTTCCTTGTCCCAGCTTCTGCCAACCTAGCAGTTCGAAAGCAGGTAAAAAATGCAAGTAGAAAAATAGGGACCACCTTTGGTGGGAAGGTAACAGCGTTCCGTGCGCCTTTGGCATTTAGTCATGCCGGCCACATGACCACGGAGGCGTCTTCGGACAGCACTGGCTCTTCAGCTTTGAAACGGAGATGAGCACCGCCCCCTAGAGTCGGGAACGACTAGCACCTGTGTGCGAGGGGAACCTTTACCTTTACCTTAATGTAAAAGGAAAAAAAATGTGGCTGTATATCGGTATATCACTGCTGCAAAGTTTGTAACTATGATGTAAAATGAAGAAAACCATATCATAAAAATATTTTTTTTAAAAAAACCAAATGGATCAGTTGCAAGAATCTTGGCATGGCTAGGATCAAGTAGAGACAAACGAAACAAAGCAAAACAAAAACTCCTTCTGGGACAAATCTCCCCCATTTTTGTTCAGATCCATCCCACCGAGCAGCTGAGATGGCAGCCCGTCAAAGGCATCCTTCTTCTGCCTTTGGAAAGCAACACCTAGCGATGAGGTCAGCCGCAGGAGGAAAGCCAAACTTGAAAGCTCTTCCCTCTTGGCAATTCACGCTTGGCTCCATCAAAAGCCGGATTGTTTCTTCCCAGCCCTCCCTCTTCCTCCTCGAAACTGTCTGCAAAGAATTCCGAACGTGAGACCTTTCACTTCGGGGCACAGACCTTATCAAGAAGGATCTCAGCCTTCCTGGCCCGAAGGGTTGACTTATTGCATCAAGCTGTTGTTGGAGACCCCACCTGCAACGGGAGCTGGTGCACAGAACCGCTCTGGGGCCTTCACCTGTGGAAGTTGGCAAAGGAGGGCCCTTCCTTCCCATGAACGACACAAACAAGCCCAAATCGAAGCTCTGGGGTGGATTTCAACATCCCTAGAGAAAGCACGTAGACATCATCCTGGCTCGTAGGCTCTGAAGATCTGCTCCTTGTTCCCGTCCGCCATCTTAAAAGCTCAAATGCACCGATTCGTTCTGTCCTGGTGTCCCTTCCTTGATGTCCTCTCCTAGAAATGAAACCTGTGCCAATTCCTACAGTAATCCAGGGAGATGCTGAAAGGAGAGGTACTCCTCGACCACGATGAAGTCCAAAATGTCTGTTGTTAAGTGAGCAGGCCGGGAAGCCATCTTTTTCGTTGGGCCTTCAGGCCTGCCACATTTACTACTGTGGGAAACTGGGAGGGGGGATTATATGGAGTATGGGAGATATATAGTCAAAATAACATTCCTTTCTCAGAGAGTCAAGGACATCTTGCCCTGCACCTGGAGGGATGGAACTGGGAGGCATCTCCAGTTGGGACGGTGCTTGGATTGGACCATGTGATGGACATGTGGGGGTTAGGCAGGGACTTGAACTTTCCTTTGGGTGGGGAAAACCTGGAAGATTTCAGACTGGGGTTTTCCCTGGCGTGCCAATATGACATCTCTAATAAAATGGAACTTTGAGGAAACTCAAGCCTCGGAGTTTTCTTTCATTGGGGGTGTTATTTGGAACCCTGACATTATGCTCCATTTTACGACCTTCCTTGCCACCGTTGCTAAGTGAACCTCCACAGCCATTAAGTTAGTAACACGGTTGCAAAGTCAATCTGGCTTCCCCATTGACGTTGCTTGTCAGAAGGTCACAAAAAGGAGATCACAGGACACTGCCACCGTCATAAATACGAGTTAGTTGCCAAGCGTCTCTAAATTTTGATCATGGGACCACGGGGAGGCTGCAACAGTCGTAAGTGTGAAAATAGCCATGTCACTTTTTTCAGTGCCGTTGTAACTTTGAACGGTCACTAAACAAACCCATTGTAAGTCCAGGACTACCTCCCTTTTCATTCTCTCCGCCATTGGATATCTCACAATGCAAGGGCCCCAACTGTTCAATGGTTCAAATCCCTGTTTGGTGGATTTTAATATATATTAAACAGATGATTGCTTTATATTAAATATACATATGCAACATATACTATGTATGCATATGTCACCATAACACGATGGGTATATGACAAATACTTGAAATAAGTTAAATATGATTTTTTTCCCCTCTCCTTTTTCCCCTCCTTTGAAATGCTTGGGGAAAAAATTGATTTGGGAAATTTCAAAACAAATCCCTTCTTTTTTCAAAGTTGTAATATAGATTCTTTCCCCCCTCCCCCATCCTAAAAGGTAAAGGTTCCTCTCGCACATATGTGCTAGTCGTTCCCAACTCTAGGGGACAGTGCTCATCTCCGTTTCAAAGCCGAAGAGCCAGTGCTGTCCGAAGACGTCTCCGTGGTCATTTGGCCGGCATGACTAAATGCCAAAGGTGCACGGAACGCTGTTAACTTTCCACCAAAGGTGGTCCCTATTTTTCCACTTGCATTTTTTACCTGCTTTCAAACTGCTAGGTTGGCAGAAGTTGGGACAAGTAACAGGAGCTCACCCCGTTACGCAGCACTAGGGATTCGAACCGCTGAACTGCCAACCTTTCAATCGACAAGCTCAGCGGCTTAGCCACTGAGCCACCGCGTCCCTTCATCCTAGCTTTTGGCTAATTACCCTATGATTTGAACCTTTCTAGCTGTTTGTTTGGTGGGGGGGGTCTGTGGTCTTCTCTAGAGATTTTTTTAGAAGAATTTGACTACTTCTGCTATTTTCCAGGACGGCTGAGTGTTGTTTTTTTCACAGGCTGCTCCGAGATTCTGAATGGCTGCGCTAAATAACAGAGGAAGGTGTGGAAAAATCATTCTGTTTACTTGGTTTTACCTGGGCTGCAAAGAGAAAAAAATAGCCAAGTGTTTATCTGAAGGAAACCTCGATCAGTCAATTCCATTGGCTCATGCATAAATCATTAGCTTTTCTTTCAGGCAAAACTATGTTTTAAAAATGCCGCTTTGTTTTTTCCCCAGAATTCGTCACACAGGTCCATCATTAAAATATCAGGAAGCAAACTATCATGGGCCAGCATGGATGGAAATACAGGTAATTCTCAACTTAGAGCTATGGAGGCTTTTCAGTAGAGATTGGACAGCCATTTTTCTGAAATGGTATAGGGCAGTGATGGTGAACCTTTATGGCACCAAGTGCCCAAACTGGAACATGCATGCATGCGCACTCCGGCCAGCTGGACTTCGGATTTCCGGCACGCGCATGTGTGCTGGCCAGCTGGTGTTTACAGGCACTGTAAACAGGATTAAAAACAGGCTGTTTTCAGGCCATTTTCCGGCTGTTTTTCTGGTCGTTTTTCGAGACTTTTTTTGTCCATTTTTGGGCCAAAAACAGCCTGAAAACAGCCCAAAAAATGGCCTGGAAAACTGCCCGAAAAGGCATGTTGTTTCGCCTTTTTTGGGGCCATTTTCAGGCCATTTTCTGGTGCTTCGACACCCGTGAAGACCAGCTGCCTGGCGTGCATATGCGTGCCGGAAATCAGAAGATGAGCTGGCGACGGTGCACGTGCCCACAGAGAGGGCTCTGTGTGCCACCTCTGGCACGTGTGCCATAGGTTCACCATCACGGGTATAGGGTGTCCTGCTTGAGCAGGGGGCTGGACTAGAAGACCTCCAAGGTCCCTTCCAACTAGATTCTGATTGATTCTGATTGGTTTTGCCCTTGCTTGGATTGCTCCTTGAAGCCGTCATAGACCAAATGTGGCAATCATTGGATTCTTCAGAGATGATAGAATAGAACAGAACAGAACAGAATAGTTGGAAGGGATCTTGGAAGTCTTCTAGTCCAGCCCTCTGCTCAGGCAGGAGAACCTATACCATTTCAGATAAGTGGCTGTCTAGACTCCTCTTAAAAACTTCCAGTGATGGACTGCCCATGATTTCTGGAGGCAAGCCGTTTCACTGGTTAATTGTCTTCACTGTTAGGAAGTTTCTCCTTAATTCCAGGTTGCTTCTCTCTTTGATTAGTTTCATCATCAAATCATTCCTCTTATTGACTAACAGGTCATCCAGATGGAAGAGAACTTCATCCTTTGCCTTTTCTCTCTCTCCCTTCTTCAGTTCTTTCTTTATTTTTTGGGGTGAAGAAATCACCTGAGCCATTTTGCTTAAAAATAGAATTTAATTTTGAGACGTGAAAAGGTGGCAGCAAGCTGGCATGGAACATCTGGTAATTGTAAACCCATTTTTTGCAATCTGCCCTACTGACACGCATTTCCACCGCTTCTAAAAAATAATGAGGAATTCAAATGGCTCTCCGGGTGGCTCGGAGTCCCATCCCTTTCCTTGACCTAATTGATCGGAGCTCTACACCCCTGGAGTGCTTTGCATAACCATAACCGAGACAGCGGGAACAATTCCAGCCTGATTGATTGACATATCTTATTTCTAACTTTAAGCTTAATCACGGGGGGGAAGAAATGATTCATTTACACCTTACAGATTTTTGGAACTTGACACAATAGCAACTGGTCTTGTGTGCGCCTTTCGCCGAACAAGACAAGGTTCCTTTGGTGCAAAGCTGCAAATATTATAGATATTATACGCAATGTTAAACTGAGTTTATTGGACTTATCGCAGCTGTTGAGGGAGGGTGAACGAAAAGAGATTCATTAAGGAGCAGCCAAAATCTCTTCCCATGATAAGAGACCAAGAGATCCACCAGGTTTCTCTACAACGTAGCAACATTAAACTTCCAGAACCTCATCTGAGCAAACATTACATGCTTTTTTATCGCATCAAATATATCTCCTGTTCCTCCTCACTGCTATTCAACAAAGATGATTAGGGAACTGGAGGCTAAAACATATAAAGAACGGTTGCAGGAACTGGGTATGTCTAGTCTGATGAAAAGAAGGACTAGGGGAGACATGATAGCAGTGTTCCAGTATTTGAGGGGCTGCCACAAAGAAGAGGGAGTCAAGCTATTCTCCAAAGCACCTGAAGGCAGGACAAGAAGCAACAGATG